TGCTTATTCTTGCCTTGTGGCACATGCTCAGATGTGGGCGTGTGTTCCCACACAGGTAGGGGCTGGCCACGCTCTGGGGGAAGGAGGGGTCCAAGAGGGCTCCTGGGGCCAGCCTGGGGGTGAGGGCCTGTGCACGTGCTCCCTGCCCTTGCTGGCCCCGCTGGGGCAGCGTGGAGAGGACGAGGTCTGCTGGGCGCCCCCGCCTCCAGTTTGGTGCCCTTCTTCCAGTCTGGAGCTTGGGAAAAGCCCTTTGCCTGCTCCTGAGTGTGAGGCCCTAGGAGTCCTGATTTGCCTGCCGTCTGTTGCACGAAGGTAGAGGCTGCGTGGGGTCTGTAAGGTGCTGTGCTGGGGGAGCAGTGAGTGATAACTCGCTCCTGTTTCCAGTGACACTGGCCCGGGCGCCCTTTCTGGGTTTGGTGGCCGAGTGCGTGGCACAGCTGCGTGGAGGCTGTCACCGTGGGTGGCCTGTCCCCCCGGCTCACTGGCTGGCCAGGAGCAGAGGAGCGGGCCTGGGAAGACCCCGCAACCGAGGCCTCTGGACTGTGAGAGAGGCTGGGCAGGGGCTCGCAGGAAGCTGTCCTTGGCCCTGGCACTCAGAGGCGCTCAGCCGCGTCCTGCGGGCCTCCCGCCCCGGGGAGGGCCCGGAGGAGGGGGGGAGGGTCCCCAGCCCTGAGGCACAGCCCAGGCTCTGACAGGCTGGCCCGCAGGTGTCGTGAGGAGTAGGTTCACTCTGCCACCAGCTCGCCTCACTCGGCCCTGCTGGGGATCGGTCGGACCGAGGTTTTTAGCCCCTCTCGTCCTTGGCTGCGCTGAGGATGTGAGAGGAGCAGGGCCACCGATAAGGCTTCCTGGACTGCGCTGGGCTTGGGCTGAGCAGCTCCCACCTTGCTGTGGCGGGGCTGTGACCTGTCCTCTGTCACATTGTCAGAAAGGTTCCCTTTTGTTGATTACAAGGGAGACACGTGAGATTAGTGTGACATAGGGGTGTCTGGGCCACCCCCCCCCCCACCACGGATCTCCATAGCTTCATTCAGGGATCGGGAAGCCGGACTGCCTCCAGGCCCCCTCCTCACCTAACTCCAGCTCGTTCTCCAAACCCTGGCTCAGTCGTCATGCATCCCCTGAGCCCCGGCAGCCCGCCCCTCCCGACACCCAGAGCCCACTTGCTGCTTGCAGTGGCTGGCTGAACTCCACGCAGGGTGGCCCCACGAACTGAGTGTTGCATCTGTGTCCCCCAGGCCCGCGGCCGGGGCTCCCCTCTTGGCGTGGAGAGGCCTCTGAGCGTGTGTGTGTCTCCTGGTGAGGGCACTGGTGGCGGCTGGACAGCGCTGCCCTGGGGTCTCTGAGCGTGGGGACTGGTCGGGCAGGGCTCAGCAGCTGTTCGGCGGCAGGGCAGGATAGGGTGTGGTCTGGGTGCCCCAGGGGCCGGTGGGAAAGGCCTCTTCCCCAGCATCCGGGCTGCAGCAGGGGCCTGGCTCTGGAGGGTGGGAAGCATACAGCCATCGGTGCTGTGGGGTCTCACCGCACCAAGTTTTGTCCTGGTCCCTGTCCTGGGGGCGGCAGTGCCCAGCTTGCTTGTCCCCTGTAGCCATGCTGGGAGCTGCCCCCGAGGACAGGGCCCCAGGGTGTGTGCCCTCCTTCTGCTTCTGTAAAGCAAGGCAGGTACAGTGAGGGGAGACAAGGCCGAGGCCCACACACTTGCACTGGGTGAGCCCGCGCCTCCACGCGCCGGGGCAACTTTGTCACTCCCGCGTCACAGGTGGGCGTTGAGGTGTCAGAGGCGAGGTGAGCAGCTGGTTGGAGGTCACGTAGAGCCACACTGGTCATGCCCCTCTGCGGCACGCTGCAGCGTCCAGCGGGACCCACTGGACCAGACCTCAGATTCGGGTGAATGCCAGTTCTAACCCTTGATCCTAACGGCTACCTTCATGGTGAGCTCTCTGCGTGTCAGGCCGAGTATTCTCCGTACAGACTCTCTCATTTTACGTAACAGGAAACTGAGCGATGGGCTGCTTTGTTTGAGGTCGTGACTCTGACCTCAAAGTTCACAGCTCAGATGAGAACGTGTTGTGTGTCGGCCCTGTGCTCTGCCCTGTTAGTGAGCTGGGGACACAGGAAGGCTGGACACTGCCCTCGACCTCAGGCTGTGCAGGCATGGTTGGGGCCAGAGGCAGACCCCCAGGCAATGAGGAGAGCTGGTCCCAGGCCCTAAGTGGTGGAGGCGGGGGAGGAGGGAGAGGACAGTTCACAGAAGAGGAGGAGGAGAGGTGGTGGAGGCGGGGGAGGAGGAGAGGACAGCTTCACAGAGGAGGTGTCGCCTGAGCAGGGTTTTGAAGGGCGAATAGGAGTTGGCTGTGTGCACATGCCTGCCTGTGTATTTGAGTATAGAGTGTGCATACTTGCCTTCTGTCTGGCATCTTGGGATGCCATCCGTCTGGACTAGGAGGGTGGGTTCATGTCAGGCCCAGCCCTCAGCTGTGTAAAGACAGCTCTGAAAGCCCTATACGTGTTGTTAGGGACTAGATATGGAGACATGTTTCATATGAGCCTTAAGGTGGGTGCTAATGTTCTCCTTATTTATTGACAAGGTGCTTAAGATTCAGAGAGACAGTAAGAGTCCCTTTTCTCAGGGTCTTCTCACTGCCTGGCATGTCACCATGGCTGGCCTTTCTCGAGGCCTGAAGGTCTCACTGGTGAACCACACAGCTGTGTTTGATGCCTGGAGCCAGGTGTGGACACCTGGGGCCTTGGCCTGCTCGGGATCCCTGATGGTGGGGAGGGACTGGCAGCTCCACTGATCAAGTGCATCTCCGCAGGGATAAGGAGAGGCAGTGGGTAGATAGCGTCACCTCCGGTCGTCCTGCCTGAGCGTCGGCCAGGCTCTGGTCCTGCTTCCTAGGAGCCTCTGATTTGCTCTGGTGGACCGTGCTGACTTTTGGATGTTCTTTCTTTCCCACCTGGTGGTCCATTTCTCTCCTTGGCATAGATGGGGGTGAGCCACCTGCCCCCGCGCTCAGTGTCAAGTGGGCCAGGTACCCCCGGAGCTCCACCCTGTTCCCATGGGGCCAGCCGGATGTGGCTGCCAAGGGGAGGTGGAGCCTGGATTGAGGGAAGCACCCGTTTTCTTGCTCGCGGTGGTTTGGTTTTACCTTCTCCTCAGTTCAGTGTCAGCACTTGGCATCTAGTTGCCCTTGCCTGCTGGACAGTGTCCTGACAGAGTTACCGGGGGCTGCTCCCCAGCGTGCACCACTCCCCGCCGCCTTTCCTCTCCATCCTCTGTGACCTCTAGTCACCTGGAGCGTCTTGGAATTCCCTAGTAATGGACCTCATCTTTCTGGTCCTCCTGCTGCCAGATCTCCTCTCAGTCTGAGCTGCCACTTGTCCCAGGAAGTTTTCCTTGATTACACAGGCTGGATAGGATCTTCATCCTGGTCTCCCACAGTCTCATGTACTTCCCTCTGTCTTGGGACTGGACCCATGTCTGATTGATCTGCTGCCCCAGCAGAGATGCCCAGGGCACAGAGCAAGTGCCTGGCAAGAGATGGCTGAATTCATTACATGGTGAGAGAGAGGGTCAGAGGGCTGACTGGCCCCACTGTGGCTCCTGGGCAGGTGGGGGAGGGGGAGCAGGGCCGTGCAGGCTGTCCTAGGGTCAGTCGGGGTTCTGGAGGGTCCAGGCTCTGTTCTGAGACTGGGCATCCCTCGGTCCAGGACCCTGACCTGGTGTTCCAACCCCATCTGAGCTCATCCCTGCTGGGGGCTCACCTGCTTTTCTCCTCCACCTGCCACCCCTACCCAGAGCCACCTGCTTCCTTCTTGTTCTTGTTGGGTTTTGGTCACTCTCTGCGGGCCTTCAGCTCCATATTGTTCCTTCTGCTTCCCATGGAGGTGCCTGCCCAGGCCAGTGGAGGGGAGTCCCTGTCTCCCTCTCTCCCTCCACACCCCACCCTCTCTCTGCCTAATCTGTACCCCATCTTTTATTTTCCTCTGCTCTTCCCCTATTGCCCTCACCCATCCTTGCTTCTTGAATTCTCTCTCTCTCTCTCTGACCGTAGAGAACTCTGGAGATGTAGGCAGGAGGAGCTGGGAGCTGGGAGTCTGGGAGTACCTGGTGGGCCAGCCCTTCTGCTTAGGGCTTTCAGACTCCTGGTCCAGTTTCTTCTTTTTCTAGAGCTTTCTCCCTCTCCAGACTTTGGGTCTCTCTCTCTGCCTTCACCCACCCATCTCCCCACCTGTGCCTGCCACGTCCTCTCTTTGACACCGCCAAGAAGGGACAGCTGTGACTCACCGAGGGGAGGGTCAGCCTCTGAGATGTCAGGAATAGGGTGTGTGTCCGTGAGCCCGTGTGTACGTGTTCTTGGGTGCCTCTGTGTGAATGAATGTGTGTGCCAGTGTGAGTGCCAGGGGTGGGAGGGCGTCTAGATACTGGCTAGAAGGAGTCTCAACTGGAAATCTAGGCAGATCGGAAGCTGACTCCTAATGACAGCAAGAGCCTGACCCTCCGCCAGCCCTCCCTCCTGGTCCTGGACTGATTACCTCGCTGCCCCTCCCTCTGGGATTCGTGAGCAGTGGGCCCAGGAAATGGAGTCGTATGGGGAGGTGGGGCTACCCCTGCCGGCCCCGTGGTGTCTGGCTCACTTTTCAGTTGCCAGGTTAGGGTGTAGCAGCCAGGGCTGCAGAGTGATATCAGCTGGGAGGGGCATGCAACCCCTCTTACTCCTGGTTTCCGCCACTACAGCAAGCCTGTCCTAAGCTCCTCCTCTTGACAGATGGGTGAGCCCTGAGAAGAGGAGGGAGAGATTTCAGTCCTGCCCTTGGGGGTCACAGCAACCACAGGCCCTCTGGTGGTCCCAGTGGCCTGGGCTCGGTGATCCTGGCCATGGGCCTCCCAGAACCCCGCTGGGGTGGAGAGGGCTCTGTGGTGTTGGTGACCTGGTGCTCTTGGTTTGGCCACTTTCCTTCTCAGTGTAACATTCTTCCCTTCTCCCTCTGCTTGGAAGGTCCTCCAGAAACTGGGGAAGGCGGATGAGACGAAGGATGAGCAGTTTGAACAGTGTGTCCAGAATTTCAACAAGCAGCTGGTGAGTATGGATGGCCCTTGGCCTTGGAGAGCTTGTGAAAATGGAACTGTGGCTGCCAGGTGGAAAATGTCAAGAGCTGAATTTGTGGAGTAGAGGAGCTTGAGAAGGGGATCAGTGTGGGCTGGTGAGTCATGGAAGACTTCTTGGAGGAGGGGGCACTGGCGCTGGGTATGGACTAGGGGAAGGGGAGCACTGTGGGGGTTTGCTCTAGGTAAGATGTAAGGTTGGGGTGGGGTGGGAGTGGGAGCTAGCGTTAGATCATGGCCAGATTCTGGGCAGCCTTGAATGTCAAGGCAAGTGGGCTCTCTAGAAGTGTCTTGTGAGGAGAGTGGTATCTGCAAGGTTTAATACGGGGGCGGGGCAGACTGGGTTTGATTGGGCACCCTCTGAGTGTCGACTGTGCCTGGCTGAGTGGTGGGCTCCAGGCCGGGCCATTTGTAGATGGCTTGTGGATCCCTCCGACACCCCTGTAAGGCAACTGGTATCGCTGTTCCCCTTTCATAGATGAGGCAGTTGAGGCTTAGAGAAATTGGGTAATCTGCCCAAGGCCATCCAGCTTTGGGAGTGGACAGACCCATACTTCTCTGGTTCTAAAAACTGCAAGTGAGTTAAAAGGCATCCTTAGCATTTCTTTTTATAGACCAAGGGCTGGTGACAGAAGGGCCTTAATTATGTGGACAGTCTGGGGGCAGTGGTTATATCCAAGGGAGGACATCCTGACCCCAAAGGGCTCTAAATACCTTAACTGAGTTGTACCTGAGACATTCCCCTCTCAGATCTGCTAAGTCTAGAATAAGACACTTTGGTGACTGTATCTGAAGACAGTAGAAGTTGGGAGTGAAATGACCCTGGTGATTCTCGCCTCCCTGGGAAAGGCCAAGGAAGCAGGGACAGAGAGCTGGGCCATGGCTCTGTGGCTTCTGCACACCAGTCCCAGTGAGTGACAGACAGGAATGGAGGCCAAAAAAGGCCACAGGAATGGGCATGGGTGTTGGCAGTGAGGTCAGGATCTAAGCTTTGCTAGGAGAGGGGCTGGTGGGCCTAGACTGGGGACTGGGAGGGACCAGGCCTCTTCCTACTTCTGGTCCACATCTGAGGCCTCAGAAAGCACAGAAGATACCCACCAATGCTTCTGTGACTGGAAGGGAACCCCCAGGAGAAGGGGCCTCCTTTGAAAAACTCCTGACAACCCACTGGCCCGTGGCTGGGAGCAGCTGGAAGAGGGCCAGGGAGCATGCTGGGAGAGGGCCGGGGGACATGGTGGTACAAGACTGGGGAGCATGCTGGGAGAGGGCCGGGGACATGGTGGTACAAGACTGGGGAGCATGCTGGGAGAGGGCCGGGGACATGGTGGTACAAGACTGGGGAGCATGCTGGTGGAAGGTTGGGGAGCATACTGGTAGAAGGTTGGGGAGCATGCTGGGAGAGGGCCAGGGAGCATGTTGGGAGAAGGCCAGGGAGCATGCTGGGAGAAGGCCGGGGAGCATGCTGGGAGAGGGCCGGGGAGCATGCTGGGAGAGGGTCGGGGAGCATGCTGGGAGAAGGCCGGGGAGCATGCTGGGAGAAGGCCGGGGAGCATGCTGGGAGAGGGCCGGGGAGCATGCTGGGAGAGGGCCAGGGACATGGTGGTACAAGACTGGGGAGCATGCTGGGAGAGGGTCGGGGAGCATGCTGGGAGAGGGCCGGGGAGCATGCTGGGAGAGGGTCGGGGAGCATGCTGGGAGAAGGCCGGGGAGCATGCTGGGAGAAGGCCGGGGAGCATGCTGGGAGAGGGCCGGGGAGCATGCTGGGAGAGGGCCAGGGACATGGTGGTACAAGACTGGGGAGCATGCTGGGAGAGGGTCGGGGAGCATGCTGGGAGAAGGCCGGGGAGCATGCTGGGAGAAGGCCGGGGAGCATGCTGGGAGAGGATCAGAGGGCATGCTGGGATAGGGCAAGTGTGCGTTCTGGGAGAGCGTAGGGGAGCATGCTGGGAGAGGGCCCAGGGCCAGGTCACCCTCACCTGCCAGAGAAGCTCCGCTGAGGGGCTCCTCAGAGCAGGGTTGGGCGCCCCCATGGCTGCTTGTCCCCTGAGGTCAGTAATGGGAGGTGTTTCAAAGCCAGTAGCAGAGACTGCTTTTTTGGCTCTGGGTGACCGCTTGCCCCTTGGGCCTCAGTTTGCTCACCTTCAAAGTGGAGGCTTGAAGAACACTGAAGTCCCCTCTGGGTCCCTGGCTCTTGGCAAGCAGTCACTGATCCTTGCCCAGAGCGGCTGGGGAGTGAGGCTAGGGCTAAAGATAGCCAGTGCTTTTGGCTCCCCGGCTGTGGATATGGGTGGTCATTTGAGCTGGTGCTCTGTCTGCCTGCAGATTGGGTGGTGTGGTCAGCTTCTCAGGGGCCGAGGGTAGAAGCAGGAGTGGGCAAATATGAGGTCTCGTTTGAGGTTCAGGGTAACCCTCCTGTAGGAGTTAGGGCAACTGGACAGTTCTGGATTTGATTGGTGTGTGGGTGTGACTGGGGCCTGGGGTTGGGGTTCAGGATTTAGAAAGGGTTACTAAGTGAGTATCACTCTTCTCAGGAAAGTGAATTCAGAAAGCTGCAGGGCTTGGGGAGCCCTGGGAAAGGCGACGTGAAGCTTGAGCATGGGGAGCCCTGTTCTTCATCTGGGAACGTCCAGCCTAGTGGGCCAGTGCTAGTCGGGGCAGGGATGGCAGGGAGTTTGGGCTTCAAGGACATGAGTCTCCCACCCCTTCCACTGGGGGTGGGCCCTACGAGAGGGGGTGAGTTGCCTTGCCGTTGTCTGCTTTCACAGGGACCCAGTTTGCATAGCCCCTCTGGGCCTACTCAACTTTAGGTCTGGCGTCCCTGGCCCTGTCCTTTCTGTGAAGCCCTGGAGGGCTCACTCACTCTCACCCACCCAAGTGCTTTAAATCCAGCTCAGATCCTTGGGAGCCATTCTGGGTCCTCCAGATGGCCCAGCTTCTTCCTCTTAGGGGACCGCCTGGACCTGGCTCCCCAGGGCTCAGAGTTGCTATTTCTCAGTGAGATGGGGCAGGTCTGGTTCCTTCTCATTCTCCAGGACCCACCCAGGGCTCTCCTCCAAGTGGGCATCCCCGGCTATCATGTGGCAATCCTCTGGCACTGACCACAGAGGCTCAGGAGTCCAGCTGGAGCCAGAGGGGTCCGTGCAGGGAGCATTTCCCTGCCTCCTGGCTTCCCTGGGAAGATGGGGGCTGATGTCAGGGAGTTGGGAGCTAGCCTTTAGAGGGAGGTATGGGGGGATGTGGGGTGCCTGCTGGCCAGCTTGTGGAGCCACACCTGGTGTTAGTCCTGGGCTGCCAGAAAAGCAGGCTGAGGGCAGTGACTCCAGAACTTTCTCCTTCCCCCAGCTGCTCTGCAAGGCATATGTTAGAGCCCAGGGACCTCCAGAGAGATGTTTCTCAGAGCCAGGGTGGAGGGTAGCCTGCCGCCAGGGCCGCCTGAGGAAGCAGCTGGCTGGGGGCCCCCGGGGGGGACGTCGACATTGGGGACCAGCTGCAGTTGGCACAGGGGAGGCAGGGCTCCGGGGGGCCCTTGCACATCTGTGCCCAGTGTGCCTGCTCACAGCGTGGCCTTGTTTGGGAAGCACAAGGGGCCCTGGTACAGCCTGAAGCCTGGGCAAGCCCAGCAACCCGCCCTGTGGGTGACCCCTTCCTCTGGGTGCCTTGCAGACAGATGCTGGGGGACAGTGGGGAGGGGAGCAAGCTGGTGAGGCTTGGTGGGAAGAGAAGCTGGGTCTGGAAGATTCTGACCTTGGATGAATACAAGAGCATCGCATCATAGGTACACTTAAATCCTCATCTCTACCACCACAGCACTTACTTGTTCAGACTGCGGAGGCTACATCGGGAGTGGGGTAGACCCTTCCTCTTGCCCCAGTCTTGGGTCCACGTGTGATCCCTGATGGGCTTCCAGAGAGGTTTGAGTGCTTGTGGCTTGGCCTTTGGTTTCCTACTCTAATCAGCACACCTTGAACTCGGATGTTCAGAAGATTCCTCCATGGCCAGGGTGTTACACTCCGTGGGGACCGAAGGAGTTTTGGAGAGGGTTTCCGTGTTTAGTGTGACGCCCTGCAGCCCTCTCTCTGTGGTGTCTGCGGTCCCACGGCTGTGTTCATCGTAAAGAACAGGCAGCTGCCTGTGTTCCTGGCCCTGTCATGACTGATTCAGCAAACTGGGGCCCACGTCAGGCCATGGAGGTTCTCACCAGCTCTCCCTGTGCCAGTGTGATCCTGGCAAGTCTCGGAACCTCTCAGCTTCCTCTTCCTCAGGTGGTGACAGTGGTGTTGAGAGGCTGTATGTGGGACGTTCTGGCCCCACTGAGGAACTATTGCCCCAGCTCTGAGGACCTCGGGGCATGATGAGAGGACTCTGGCCAGGAGGGGCCCTGTTTGCAGGGGGACAGCAGAGATTTGAGGGTGCTGGGGTGGGCCCATGCCTGAGGCCCACGTCCTGGCCTGCTCTCGGCAGGGGCATTGTTTGACCAGCAAGGGTGGAGACCACTTTTGTCTCAGGCAGGAGCTCCAGGCTGGCAGGTGGAGCTCTGTAGGGGCGCAGATCTCCTGGGACTATGGCTTGCTGCCATGGTCTGTTTAAGCCTCCCTCAGAGAGCAGGACTTCCACACAAGATGTCACTGAGCTGTGGGCTGGCAGGGACTCCAGGAGGTCAGCCCCAGGTTCAGCCATTCACGGCGCTCCAGAGGCCGGCTCCCTTGTGTCCCCCTCCCCACCCATTGTGCTGCCCAGGGTAGAGCCCACCTCCCGAGGCTGCTCTTCATGGCCGCCGTGAAGCCATTTCCGGCTCCCTGCAGCCACGTCCCCGAGCACCTGTGATGGGCCAGGTGCCCTGCAGGCGCTCCATTCACATTGCTTGTGGTCTCCCAGGCCACGGTCATTTGACCCGGCTGACAGATGAGGAAACGAGGCTCTGAGGGGTTCAGTAACTTTCTTAGGATTCCATGTCTAGTGTGTAGAAGGAAATGGCAGCCCACTCCACTGTTCTTGCCTGGAGAATTCCACTGACAGAGGAGCCTGGCGGGCAACAGTCCATGGGGTCGCCCAGAGTTGGACACGACTGAAGTGACTGAACATGCATGTGTCTAGTAAGGGACAGATCTGGGTCTCCACAGCCCCACAGCCTGTGTGTGCTTTCTCCTGCATTCCACACGGCTTCTGGAAACTTCAGCATCTCCCTCGCAGGAGTCTCACTTTGCTTGCTGGCCTCAACCAGCTCACCCGTCCTCACACCTGGAGCTCAGCTTTCCCGCTTCTGCCTCCTGCTGATGCCAGAGGGAGTTGAGGTTGCGTCTGCGGTTTCACCTCTCTACTGGCCCTCCTGCTCCAGGGAGCCCCTGGGGCTGCCCTCCTAGCTCCGAGGGCTTCACTCCCTGGGTCACTCCCCCCTCTACCCTTTCACCTGCATCCTCCCTCTCAACAGGGCCAGTGTCCTGAGAGGCCTGGACATGACCCCACCCTTCTCTGCACTCCTGTCAAAGGCCTCCCCTTCTGGATCTCTCCTCTCCCCACCGGGTCGTCCTCTGTCATCAGAAACCTCCTGACCCTGTAAAGGCCTGCCCTAGGCCCCTCATCTCCGGTGGGATGTGCTGGGAGCCAGCTGGCCTCAGGCAGAACCCAGGCTTTCAGGACCAGGGTGGGGTGGTCCCTGTACCCCCATCATCTTCCCGTGCTTGTCGGCCCCCTGGCTCATGGTCGCCCGAGGGCAGGCTTGCCAGCCGCCGGTCCCGTCATACACACGGGCTGTGTGTGCTCCAGTGTGTCGTTCAGGGTGGAGGGTCCCTGTCTTGCTGCCTTCCTTCCAGGGCTGAGGATAGTGCCTAGGAGAGAAGCTGAATGTCCCTTCAGGAACGGGGCTCCCAAGGTGGAAGCTCAGTGTGTGTCTGTGGCCAGAGAGGCAGTAGCCGCCGTACCCCAAACCCAGGGTGTTTTCCTATCTGGTCTCCGTAGGCCCCTGATGCTTTGCAGTGAACAGCCCATCCGTGGCAGGTGTCCACAGGGTGCAGGGGGCAGGTGTGGGCTGTGCTCCAGGCCCCCCCTTCTCCTTGTCTCTCTCTTTGTAGACCGAGGGCACCCGCCTGCAGAAGGACCTCCGGACCTACCTGGCCTCCGTCAAAGGTAAGGGGCAGACCCGGCTGGGCCGGTGGGCTTCCTGGGGCACAGAGAGGGGCCTTCCCCGCGTGGAGCTGATGGACGCAGAGCTGGGAAGGGGAGCAGGGCTGTCCGGTATGGCCACATACCTCCTGGGCCTTCAGGGTGGGGGCAAGGGTACCCCCTGCCTGCAGTGTGGCCTGTCTGCCCACCAGCCATGCATGAGGCCTCCAAGAAGCTGAACGAGTGTCTGCAGGAGGTGTACGAGCCCGACTGGCCTGGCAGGGATGAAGCAAGCAAAATCGCTGAGGTGAGTGTGGGCCCAGTGGCCTTGGTCCTTCCCCTGGGGAGCCTTCTGACCTCAGCGGGCTGCCCATGGTACTCTGCACCCTCTGGGAACAGCCCTTCCGGTTCTTACATGCTGCATGCTCTTGGGCAAGTCCCCTCTCCTCTCTGGGGGTCATTTTGCTCATCTGACACACCCTCACGCTGAGATGTATTTCCTGTGGTGTCTGGAGGCATCTCTCCTCTCTGAGTTATATCACCTGGCCCAGGAAGCCACCCTCCCCACCCCCACCAGCCCTGGGCGTATCTCATCCTCAAGGTCACCTTGTGAAAAGGCAGGAGTTGTGACCCTGTTTTATATATGACGTTGGGCTTCCCTCATTGCTCAGTTGGTAAAGAATCTGCCTGTGATGCAGGAAACCCGGGTTCGATTCCTGGGTTGGGAAGACCCCCTGGAGAAGGGAATGCCTACCCACTCCAGTATTTTTGCCTGGAGGATCACATGGACAGAGGAGCCCAGCAGGCTATAGTCCATGGGGTTGCAAGAGTCGCACATGACTTAGCGACTAAACCACCACCACCACTACCAGTCTGAGGTTCTGAGGCGCCGCCCAGCTGTGAAGCGACGGGGCTGGCCCCTGGGTCCCTGGGAGGGGCGAGCTGGCCCTGGTGCAGCCCAGCCCCCCTGGTGTCCACTCCTGCGCTCTCGCCTTCTGCAGAACAATGACCTGCTCTGGATGGATTACCACCAGAAGCTGGTGGACCAGGCACTGCTGACCATGGACACGTACCTGGGCCAGTTCCCTGACATCAAGGTGAGTGGTGCTCTGGCCCTCCACCCTGCTGCGGCCTGGCAGCCTGTGTCGGGGAGCAGGAGTGGGAGAGGGGTGTGGGGGCGTGCGGGCAGCCCAGGGCTGAAGCCAGGCCTCCCCTTCGCCTCCCAGTTCACCCTCCGGGGTTGCTCCCTCTGAGGCTAGCCTTCCAGTCCCCAGGCCTGGGCCCTTCTGAGCTGGAAACCCTGTCCCTGTGGGTCTCCGGGCTATGGAAAGAGACCTTGTGGAGCATGTACGTGTGTGGCCGTGTAACTGTGGAGTGACTCTAGGGCTGACGAAGTGTATGACGGGGCTGGAAGGCCTGGGCGTTGTATGCCCTGTATTGGACTCTGTGTGCTTAGAAGGGAAGCTGTGTGTCATTGTGTGCATTGCCTCTTATCTGGATGTATCTGTGTGACTGCGCGTGTTCAAAACGCCAGCTGCCTTTGCCGGGCGCAGGTGAGTTAGAACTTGTCAGTGTGTTAGGATCTCAAAGGAGGCAGCTGGGACCCCAGGTGCCCCCAACACACAGGCAGAGTTGTCTAGAGCTCAGGTAGTGACCGCGGTGCCAGGCCGCTCCTCTGGAGGGCTCACAGTGCATGACAGTGCAAAGGCTCCTGAAGGAGTTTTACAGGGAGTGTGGAAGCGAGGCTGATGGGGTGGCTCAGGAGGAGAGAAGCCTTGAGGGGTGAGCTCTTTGCTACCAGAAATGTTAACGCGAGTGTCTCAGGCATCTGTGAGACAGATTTGCTGAGCCTGGGGTCGGCGGCCATGAGCCCTCTGGGTTCATCCAGGCCCCCTTGCCCGGGCCAGCGTCTCAACACGGGCGTTGTGCTGAAGCGTTCAGCCGCTCCCTCCTTCCGTACCCCAGTCACGCATCGCCAAGCGCGGGCGGAAGCTGGTGGACTACGACAGTGCCCGGCACCATTACGAGTCCCTTCAAACCGCCAAAAAGAAGGATGAAGCCAAAATTGCTAAGGTAAGGCTGGCGGTGGTGGCGGCTGGGGGAGAGGTCTTGGGAGTCTCCGCAGGGGGCCCAAGCCCCCAGGGAGCCTTGCTCACGGGCTGGCTCACCACGCCCTCTGCAGGCTTGTCCCTGCGCCCTGGCGCGCAGGGATCCCCGGCCCCCTTTGCAGAGGGATTCACAGCCGCTGACTAGTCCCGAGTCACGGGTCACAGGGCGAGTGAGTGGGAGGCCTCGTGGGCCTGATGGGTGGGGCCCCCTCCTGGCCCGTCCCCCGGCCCCTCCGCCTGTCCGGAGGCCGCTTTCCAGGATGAGAGCAGGCCTGGCTTGGGTTTCACTGGCCCAGCCCCTCCTGGCCTGGTGTGCTCCGAATGGAATTCCGTCACGGGATCCGATGTGAACCTGTCTCAGCTGGAACAAGCCGGGTCGGGGTGGAGGTGGGGGGTGTTGCACCCACATTCCGCCCCCCCACCCCCACCCCACCCCGTGAGCGCCCCCAGGGCAGGACCTGCTTGCTGAGTCCCTCTGCCCTTGCTAACGATTCCCATATTCTGCTTTGCAGCTGGACTTCACCCACTTCTCCGCCTTCCCCGGGGCTCCCCTTAATTCTCTCAGCCTCAGGGGCCTTTGCCTGCTGTGGGGGGCTGGCCCTCTGGAGGGAGGCAGGGCTCCGTCACTGCCCTGGAGACGTTGGGATGTGGTGGTTAACGTCTGTCTGTTTCTCTCTCCCGGTCTCCCTCCTCTCTCTCCTCTCCTTGGCCTTGACCTCCCCTCCCCACCCCTAGCCTGTCTCGCTGCTTGAGAAAGCCGCCCCCCAGTGGTGCCAAGGCAAACTGCAGGCTCATCTCGTAGCCCAAACTAACCTGCTCCGAAATCAGGTGACACCGGCTTCTAACCTTGCACGCGCTGGCGCCTTCTGGTCTGTCATCCTGTCCTTGGCGCTGGGTGGTGCTGGGTGCCCGTCTGCCCAGCCCCACCGGGGGTGGGGGAGGGCGCGATTCTTTCCCCGGTTGGGAGGCAGGGATGTTTTCAAATGTCTCTGCCGGAGACCTCCTGCCTCGGAGAGCTGAGGTCAAAGGAGGGTGCGGATGGGGGCCGGGGCTGGTTAACCTGGAATGGGCCCGTCTCTGTCCTAGTGCCTGGACCTCTGGTCATCCTGGCTCCGACTGAAATCCTAGCCTCCAGGAGCCCAGGAAAGCCTCAGACTCTGTCCTCTGTGAGGGCTCTTGCAGGGACAGATGTGGTGTCTTTAATGTGTATTCCTTCGAACCTCATGAGAACTGTGAGGTTAATCTGGATTTACTGAGGAGACAAACCCTTCCAGAGAGGCAGAATCTCCTGCCCAGCTCCCAGAGCCATTCAATGACTGAGTCGGCGCTCACCCACCTCAAGCCCTGGGTCATTAGCCTAGCTCCCTGGACTGGGGGTCCCTGTGGGTGGTCTAGGGACCACCAATTGGTCAGAGTCATGGTGTCCCTTGGACCTACAGGCCCCGGGGTGCCCCTGGGGGACACTGAGAAGGCCCTTCCGTCTGGCTGGGATATTGAGACCTGGGGCTGAAAGGACTGGCTCTTTGGGAGTTCCATGGAGGGCAATCATTCTGTATCACAGTGATCCCAGAGGGCTTCCTGGAGGAGGCTCTCTGTGCAAAAGTGTACTACTATCCTGGCAACACTTTGGAGTGGGCTGGGCCCTGGTCAGGACCGTGATGCAGTGCCCTGGGAGAGGGAGCCTCGTGGTTCTGACTGCAGCAGCACTTCATGGTCCTGGGAGGGGGCAGGAGACAGGCCCCCCTGAGGAGGCTGGGTTTCTATCCGGACAGCTGCCCCATGTTTTATGGGCCACTTCTGATTTCATCATCTTCAACTCACGTGTATTGAATACCTGTGATGTGGAGAGCGCTGAGTTAAGCATGGGCTCGCGACCCAATTTCTTATTCATCCTGCTGCCTGATTTCTTTTAGGCCAGAGCTGTGGGCTGACTTTTGAGGCACTGAGTAACAGCCCCACCTCTTTAGGGTCTTGGGGAGATGGCCTGGGTTAGGTTAGCCTGCAGGAGGGCTGAGTGACTGGAATGGCCTGTCCCGCCTGTAGAGTTCAGGACTTTGGGCTGTAGGGGGAATAATAATGGAGCCACTGAGCCAGGGCCAGGATTTCTGCATAATTTTCCCTGAAATGAGTTTGGGAGGATGCCAGGTGAACATTTTAGTCCAGTGGGATAAGCTCCTGGGAGACTGTGGGGCCAGGGGTGGTGGCCATGGCTGATTTGGGGCTCCTGGGATGGGTGTGGATGGGGATCCAGCTGGGAGGGTCCCATCTCCCACCTTCACCCCCCACCCTGGGGGATTGGCAGGAGAGGCCAGGGCACGGGATCTCATCTCTGGATGTTGGATGGCAGATGTTTTGCCTTTTGGACAAATTGACATTCCCATTTGGATCCAGTTTTCATCTGAGCCTCTCGTCTTTCTTCCTCACCCTGCCTCACCCTTGGCTGGGGGCTGGGGAGCCTTCAGCCACTGGCTGGCAGTGAGCTGGAGTACTTGGGGCCCTGGGCTGCCTTTGCTGGCTGACTTTGGAGGGACAGCACCAGCTCCCGAGCCTGTGTTCTCCTGAGCTGGCCAGCTCCGGGTGTTCCCTGATCTGGTTCCAAGCTGCTCTCCACACGTGTCATGGTCTCCCCAGCAAGGGACAGCTATCCCCCCACCTCCTGCCACCCCTGGTATTTCTGAAAGAGCCAGAATATGAAGAATGTGACTCAAAGGAAATATAGGATAGGCCCTGACTTCTAGGAACTCTAAAACAAAGCTACCCTGTCCTTGGCAGCATTGCTGAGCTCCGTGGACAGGGCTTGGTGTCCAGCTATGAACTGCTGTGCCATCCTCACCGTCTTGGCCATGCTTGTCCACTCGGGGAGTTAGGACCTACATCGTGGGGACCAGAGGGGTTGGTCTCTGTGGGTATGGAAGCCAGGGAGGTCAGTGTCCTGGAGGATGTGGGACTTGAACTGTCCAGTGGGCACTTGAATGGGAAGTGCACATGACAGTGTGGGGCTCTGGCGTCTGAAAGTATGGGAGTCACTGTTTTGGGGGTGTTAGCCCCCATCAGGCACTGGGGTGCTCAGAGAATTAAGGCAGGGATGATCTGGCTCCTGGCCTGGAGGGCTCCCCAGGTCTGATCCATTCTAGGCATGGCCAGAGGCATGCATATTTAGAGATGTTTCTTTGATTTCTTACGCTCCCTTTAATTTTTAAATGAGATTTTAAAAAGTTAGATGAGATACTCATGCTCAGCATAGCAAGTTCCAACAACCTGAAGGTGATGGAGTCAGGAGCGTGGTGGCCGCTCTCTCCTCCGGTTCCCTGGTCATCCTGGCTGGGCCAGACACAGAAGGACTAGGACGAGACGTGGGCTGACCCTGGTGCCTGAAGCTGTGTGGACAGCCGGGTGGGCTTCAGTTGGACGGGCAGCTCTGGTGTGTTCTGCAGCAGTTTGGTGTTCAGGCCAGCTGGCCTGAGAACATGAGGCTGCTGGAGGGAAGTTTTCTCCTGGGCGAGGCCACCACGTTCCTGGGCTGTGACTCAGACCCCGAATCCAAGTCACCCCCCTGAGTCACTATTTCCTGCAGCGTTCTCCAGAATGAGCCAGCAGAACGCTTTCTGGGGCCGGGGTCTGTGACTCACCTCCACCCTCCGCCCAGCTCCCGCCTTTCTAGGATTCTGCCATGGGGCCTGAGTGCCACCAACTGGTGTGTGTGTGTGCAGGCTGGCCCTGGGAGTGGGCACAGGCAGCCTGCCCGGCAGCCCAGCCCCCTCCTGGCCTGCCCTCTCCCCTGCCTTTCTGCATGTCCCCGAGCTCCTGCCTCTATTGGGGAAGGGTCAGAGGAGACAGTAGGAAAGCTCCCATGGAGGTGAAGTCAGCCTGGTGGTGGAGACTGAGTAGGGGCCGGCCCTGGGAAAGGGGAAGGAAGAGTCAGAGGGGCCGGCACGGCCAGGGCCAGGGAGCTGGGCAGCCGGCAGACACTTAGCCCGAGAGGGGCTCCAGCGTGAGTGGACAGGACCCCACCTGGCTGGTCTGGGGCCTCGTGGCCTTCCTGGGCCTCTGCCCCGTTGTCCCCTTGGCTGGCGCCGGCGCATTGTGCTCCCCTCCTTCCTCGGGTCCCCCTGGGGCGCTGGACCACATGGGGGCTCTCTTCTTGGCCCTGGCTGCTCTCCCGGCCCCTGCCCGGAGCGCCCCCGGGGCGCGGGGGAGGGACTCGGGGAGGTCTGCCCTGGCGTCCAGGGCCAGAGCCCTGGTTCCAGTGCACTGGGGAGAGTAGGTCTCGGTGGGGGCCTGGCCTGGGCTGGCCGGGATGCAGGCCCTGCAGAGGGAAATGACCCATCCCACCCCCCAGGCCGAGGAGGAGCTCATCAAAGCCCAGAAGGTGTTTGAGGAGATGAATGTGGACCTGCAGGAGGAGCTGCCATCCCTCTGGAACAGGTGAGGGGCAGGAGGGGGCAGGCAAAGCCTCGGCCACTCTCCGGAGGCTGCAGGGCTGTGCTGCTCTGCTCCATGCCGTCCCGGGGCCGGGGCTGGTGAGGGCGGAGGTCCGGCCGCCTGCATGGCTCTCCTGGGCTGCCCACCCTGACCTGCAATCCACCTGGCCCTTCTTCCCTCTGTCCTGCAGCCGTGTAGGTTTCTATGTCAACACATTTCAGAGCATTGCGGGCCTGGAGGAAAACTTCCACAAGGAAATGAGTAAGGTAGGTAGGTCCCTTTCCTCCCCTGCATCCTAGCCACCCACCCAGGGCCATGCTCCACCTGCAAGGGTCAGGGTCGGAGGCACTGGGGGGCCCGGCTTCCTCTTCCCTGCTGGGGTTAGAGACACAGGTCACCGCAGCGCCCCCTCTGAGCCCCTGCCCTTGAGGAACAGGGTCAGGGCCCAGTAGGAGCTGCTGGGTGCACTGGGAGGCTGCAAGCCAGCCCCACGGGTCTAGCCCTAGACCCTGTCCTGCTCCCAGGTCTATTCTCATTGCCCGGGCAGGGCCAGTGGCCCTCAAACTGGAGACATGCTCTCAGGCAGCCTTGGCCCAGCAAGCTCACTCAGTGTTAGAAAATGGTGGTGGTTTCCCAATTTGTAGGCTGATGATAAATAAATTACTAAAATTTTTCCAATTATAATTTTTTAAAATATTCCTTAAGACATTAAAGCAGATTTGCCTTATCTACTAGAATCTGATGTAAGATGGGCTCTGATTAGCTTAAATTCCTATGTTGTATTATTTTCATTTTGATGAATATGGCAGTTAAACTGCAAAGCTGAGTTGTAAAAACCTCATGTTGGCAACTTCCTTCTTCCCTGTGCCATGGGTGGGCTTGACTGTCTCCAGGGCCCAGAAGAATGAAGTATAGATCATGGGGGATTCCAGGCCCAGGACAGGAAAAGGGCTTTGGCCACCTTGGGGCCTGTCCTGAGGGACCACCCTAAATATTGCTTCTTGCCTGAGTTTTCCTTTTTTTCCTTTTCCTTCCTACTTTTCCTTCTTCACTTCAGTATGAGACAACTTGTGAAAAATTAAAAGAAAAAAACAAACAGAGATGTGTTTGGGGAAGAAAATATTTGTAAAGTCAGGAGGAAAATTCAGCTCTGGGCTTCCTAGTGGCTGAAGGAGAGGGAAATATTTTCAGTAAGCAGAACCACAAGATGCATGGGGTCAGTCCCTCATCCTGTTGGTGCTTTTGGTGAAATCTCTGTCAGTTGTAACGGGGCCTGAAAGCATCTTGGCAAATGACTTCAGCAATTAGGATCAACAGTTAATTTGCAAAATTGAAAAAAAAAAAAACCCATGCAAAACAAAACAGTACAAGCTTTATGTGGCATTTTAGGAAGTGCCTATAAGTAGAAAGAAGAAAGAGATGGTCCCCAGAAACTGTGACTGCTAAGCAGTGCAGCCCACTTCCTCCTCCTCTTCTGTTTTCTGTCTGGGGTTGGTGTGCCGGCTCCCAGCTCCCACTGATGGCGAGAGAAGAGCTCGTTCCCGGCCCAGGCAGAGGCACAGGGCAGGGCTAGGGTGGAAGAGAAGCAGGGATGTCACTGGGAGCTGGGGCTGGTTGGTGGCCCCACCCAACCTGCTTGCTGTGTCTCCTGCAGCTCAACCAGAACCTCAATGATGTGCTCATCAGCCTGGAGAAGCAGCATGGTAGCAACACGTTCACAGTCAAGGCCCAGCCTAGGTGTGTGCCTCCCCTGAGGGCGGTGGGGGGCGGAGGGACGTGTCGTCTGGGTCAAGGCGTCTTCCTGCGGTCCCCTGTGGGCTTGGCCTTTCTGGCTTGGCCTCCCTGTGCTCAGGGGAGCAGGCGAAGACGCCCCTTCTCCTTGGCTGTGTCCCATCTGAGAAGGCGCGATCCGGGCAGTCTGTGGCTCCCCTAGTGCAGGCCTGGCTTCTTCCACTGGGGAGCAGCAGAAGCGGTGCCTTCACTGCTTTGCAGGCAGGCTGGGACTGAAGGATTCAGGGGATCCTCATAGCGGGGAGCCCCCTTCCGCCACTCACTGCATGGAGGTCCTCGTTCCTGCCTGGAGGAGAGCCCTGCTCCCTGAGGGGGAGCCTCGAGGGAGGGAGGGGATGCGCCTGGCCCGTGGCCCCCGGGAAAACCACAGCGAGCCTGGGACTTCCCTTCGTCTCTGTCCTTGAGGTGCCGTGCGTCGCAGCATGACGTGGAGCGCTGCGGTGCACCTCGCTCTCCTTACCGACCACACAGGATGCTTGTGTCGGGTTCTCGGGGTAACTGGGGAGGAGGAAGGCAGTCAGTGTTCAGTGACTGTCACTGCCCCACTTCCCCCTGAAAATGCAGCGTGGGAGCGGCCCACAGGCTGCCCTGCAGGAAGGGAAGGCCCCGGGGCATTTGTTTCACAGGTCACCTTCCTGCCTGAGGTCAAGGCGGCACATGCAGGATAGTTGAGGAGGGTGGCCGGGCAGGCAGTGGGGGCCAGGCCGCCCTTGGGAAACGGCTGGCCTGCGGGGAGAGCATGGGCGGTGGAGGAGGCTTGTGAGCCTCCTTTACTCCAGAGTGGCCCCCAGGGCAGCCCAGTGGCCTTCTCCGGGGCCCCGTGCTGGTCCGCGGACCTGGCTCCTTCCTGGGTCCTGAGCTCCTGTGGCCGGGCCTGGGCTGGGAGGGCGGCTGGTGCTGTCCCGCCCAAGAGCCACTCACTAGGCTCTGTTTGAGGGAGCATCTTCTGCTGCTTCTTCTGTCAGCACCGCCTCAGGGTGCCGGGCTGGATGCCAAGGCCGTGGCTCGGACAGCAGGGGTCGGGGGCAGGCCTGGGGCCTCCGCACACCCAGGGAGTTGGGGGTGCTTTGGCCTTTGGTCTTCCTCCGGGCACGGAGGGCCTGCCGGCGAGGGAAGGGGTCAGGCCAGTCCCACATCCTCATTTCCCCCAAATGAAGGCCTCCACGTCCCATCCGTCCCCACAGAAAGAAAGCTAAACTGTTCTCCCGGCTGCGCAGAAAGAAGAACAGGTACCAGTAGGGAGTGCTGTGCTGTGGGGGCCTCTGAGGACAGCCCCCGGACCCCATGCATGCGCCTGGCCCAGCCGAGGGCGCCACTAACCCCTAACCCGCCTTCCTGTGTGTGGTGTGTGTGTTGGGGTGGGCAGAGGGCAGAGAGGTGTCGGTGGGAACCAGAGAGGGTGGGGAGGGTGGGCAGACCGCTTCAGCATGTTCCTCTCGGGCTGCAGTCCGAACAGGAGTGGGGGATCAGCCAGAGGGAGGCCTGGGAGGCTCGGGGAGAGAGTTGCTGCAGCTGCCAGATTGTAGGAACTGTGTGCTGTGTGCGTGTGTGCCTGTTCATACACTAGATGTATTTGTAGTCTTAAAGGAGGCAAAGACAGCCTGGGCGGGTGACAGATTCCTAGTTCTGTTTGTCCTTCTGGACTTGCCCTGTCCACCACGGTGTCTGCCCAGCCCATGTGCCCGGGGAGCACTTAAAGTGTAGCCGTGTGACCAAGGAGCTGCGTTTTTAATATGAACACAAAATATGGGCTTCCCTGATAGCTCAGTTGGTAAAGAATCCTCCTGCAATGCAGGAGACCCCGGTTCGACTCCTGGATCGGGAAGATCCCCTGGAGAAGGGATAGGCTACCCACTCCAGTATTCATGGGCTTCCCTTGTGGCTCAGCTGGTAAAGAATCTGCCTACAATGCAGAAGATCTGGATTCAATCCCTGGGTTGTGGAGATCCTCTAGAGAAGAGAAAGGCTACCCACTCCTGTGTTCTGGCCTAGAGAATTCCGCGGACTGTATAGTCCATGGGGTCACAGAGTCGGCACGGCTGAGCAACTCTCACTTTTCAAATGTAAATGTAAGCAGCCCCCGCAGGCGGGGCTGATCTTGGTCAGCACTGTTCTAGAGTCTCTCCAGGCAAGTACAACACAGATTTTTATTTCTGCCCCTTTGTGCCCAAGTGGTGGGCTGTGCATGCCGTTTGTCCTTGTCAGTGCTGAGACTTGACGTGGCTTCTCCCTCCTCACCCTGGCTATGAGACACCCCTTTACTTTTCCTCTCTGCCTGTGGCCTCTGCTGGTCACCCAGGTTCCAGGGAGGACCTGCAGGAGCAAAAGCTTGGAGCCAGCTGCTCCGGTGTGGTGGGGAGCTGGGCCCTGCTGGTGGGGCGGATGGCAGGCCGGCCCGGAGGCCCCAGGGTCAGGCTGAGGAGCAGGCTCGCCCTGAGCATGGGGGCTGCTGCGTGCCGTGTCGGATGACACTCTCTTTACTTCTAGGATGTTTGGCCTTCTCTTGCGGTGGGCTTAGCACCCCTGCATGAGGCTGGGGATACCGCCTTGTGATGCCTCCCAGGGACCCGCCCTGCTCCTCCCGCTGGGGTGGGGTTATCACTGTGTCCAGGGCGGGCCCTGCTGCAGACATCTTCGTGTTCCCGGTGCTCATGCCTGTGTTGCCTCATTTCCACCTGTTCTCACTCACATTCACACATGGATGCGTGGGGACACGCACTCATGCACACATGGGTGTCATATTTTCTCAGTGAGTCTGTGGACACACGAGCACCCTCAGTTTCCCAGGATCTACATGGACACACACATGTGCGTGCACACAGCCTGTCACACACACACGTTTCCTCTCTCCCTCTCGGACACCTCAGCCTCCCTCCATCCGGCTCTCTCTCCCTCATCTCTCTCTGCAGTGACAACGCACCCGCAAAAGGGAACAAGAGCCCCTCCCCGCCGCCTGATGGCTCTCCTGCTGCCACCCCCGAGATCAGAGTCAACCATGAGCCCGAGCCGGCTGGCGCAGCCACCCCCGGGGCCGCCCTCCCCAAGTCCCCGTCTCAGGTAGGTGCCTGTCTTGGTGGCCTGTCCCCTCCCTTGCTTCTTCCTGCTCTGCCGGCGTCCCGGCTCCTTCCGGTCCCCTGGCCCTGTGGGCCCAGGCTCCTCTCTGTGGTCCTGGCCCCTTCCAGGGGCATCTGTGACAGTCTGGCGCCCCAACCCTGCTGCCGCATCCCTTCTTCCCTCTCCCCGGCCTCTGGGCTGCTGAACTCTCTCCATCTTTCTTTCCTGCGGAGACACAGGCTCCAGGCCCTCAGCCCCCAGAGCATCCAGGTCTGCCGAGGTGGCTGCCTCTCCCTCTGCCTCACCTTCTTTCTTGCGGGGGTGGGGGGCACCCAGGACCCTGAAAAGGCCGGTGAGAGGAGAGGCTCGGTGAGGGGAGGGGGACGTCCGGGTCCTACCCCCAACCCAGTTTCTCCCAGGTTTCTGCAGCATCCCCAGGAGCTGGAAAGGGAGAAAGGAGGAGTGGGGTCCACTGTGCAGCCCCGTCTGAGCCCTGATGGGCGCCCGGCCACCGCTTTCCTGGTTGCAGGCCCGCTGCTCAGCTGATTAGGAGAGCGATGCTAAGAGGGTGATGAGAGCCCACACTCAGACACTTCCTCTGGGCCGCACCCGCACCAGCCTTTCTGTGTTTTCATTCATTGTCCTCACACCGGCCTGTGAGGCGGACACTCTTATCGTCTCAACTTGACGAGTGAGGAAGCCCAGGCTTGGCGGGCAGGTGTGCTGCCTCCACGGTGACCTCCAGAGTCTGGACTGCAGCTCCTCTGGGGGCGGGGGCCGGGGGCCGGGGGCCTGGGTGCTGTTTCTCTCCTCAGCTTCCCCACCAAGGGCCGTGAGAGCCGGACCCTCCGACGTGGCCCCTGACAGCCTGGCAGGCCCGCCTTTCCTTCCTCTCGGTCCTGCTCTCTCCTCGTCTCCTTCTCTCACTCCCTTGCCCTCCGACCCACCTCTCTCTGTGCAGGGCTCCTGACCGCCGGGCTTCGGCCACTCCCGGGGGCCCATGTGGTCTGTGTGTTGGTGTCTCAGGGGGCAGTGACTTTCCTCGTCTGTGTTCCGCGGTTGCTGGTGGGGCCGTGGCCGGGAGGTGACTAACCTTGGCTTTGTCTCTGTCTGTCTCCCCCAACCCCCACGCTCCGCTGTGCCTTTCCACGCGGCCCCCTCACCTGCTGCCGACCCACAGCTTCGGAAAGGCCCACCAGTGCCTCCGCCTCCCAAACACACCCCGTCCAAGGAGGTCAAGCAGGAGCAGATCCTCAGCTTGTTTGACGACACGTTCGTCCCCGAGATCAGCGTGACCACCCCTTCCCAGGTCAGCCGCGGCCGCCGCGGCCCAGCACTCTCTGCCCCTTCTCTTGCCCTTCTGGGGCGTGCATGGCCTTCCCCTCCATCCCGTGCCCCGTGCCTCTGCCTCAGAAGCCAGAGGCCGACTGCAGGGATTGGTTCTGAGCCTCCTTCTCGCACATCCATCCACTCCCCCGCCCATCATTCTGCATTTCTCTCTGAGCTTGTGGCCTAACGGAGGGACACGGGCAAATGGTCCTCATGGAGATGGCTGGCTCAACAGTGGCCTCCTGTGGCCCAAAGGGATGGGCGGCTCAGAGGACCTGGGCCAATCAGGGAAGCCTTCCTGGAGCAGGAGAAGTTCGCCAAGTGGCTATGAGCAGGCACAGTGTGTAGCCAGAGGCGGCTGCTTGTGTGAAGGCTGGGAGGGGTGGGAGGCGGGCTCAGGACGGGCAGGGGCTCCGTGCGTCAGACGAGGAGGCGACCGGGCCAGGGCACAGTTCGGGAGCCTCCAAGGCACCCAGCTTCCAGAACTGCCGTCACCACATGGAGGTGGGCCGGTGGCTGGGTCACAGAGCAGGGAGGCTGCTGTACCCGCCCTCGGAGGCATGCAACGCCCGTTCCCAGATGGACGAAGGGAGGGTGGAGCAGGGAAGGTCACTGTGGTGGCAGAGGAGGCGGGCTGCCCGTGGTCGGATCGGCGCACAGAGGCCGCAGCGCGCCGACCTCTCCAAGCCTGGCTTCCAGGCCTGCCTGTCCATGCTGGGCTCACCTTTTGTGTAGGCCAGCCAGTCCCGAGCTGCGCTGGGCCCCGCGTTGCGGCGCCCCCATGGGCTTGCTCTGCCAGGGGTCTGCCTCTGCACCAGCTCAGAGGCCTGGAGGGGAGGGGCAGGACTGGAGGTGTGCATGTGGCGGAAGAGGAATTGGGAGCACGGGACAGTGTTTCCAGCTACGAGGGGCCGTGGCGGAGTGGGCTTCATGCCCCACAGCAGGACTTCGGATTGAGCTTGGAACTTTCAATATAGATGGCTGGGGGCAGGCAAGTGATGCCCTGGCTTGGGGGCCAGGGAGGGAGCCCCCCTGCAGAGCACAGCTGAGGCTGGCTCAAGGTGCTCCTGGGGTCTTGGGGAAACCATGACCTCTGGGCAGATTGCAGCTGGGGTGCTTGCCGCCTGGAGCCCGCCTCTACCGCAGGGGCACATAAGGGCTGGTAGACGCTGTGCAGGGAATGCAGCCAGCCGCTGACCCACTGGCCTGACTCAGGGTTCCGTCCTCTCTGGGAGGGGCTGTTCCCGCTGAACTGGTGAGGAGCTGCGGGCCTTGGCCGCAGCCAGGCGGGCTGCCCTGCCCTGCTCCCTGCGTGCCTCTCCTGCTGCCTCTCTGCCCACTCCTGGGAGCTGGGGCCCTGCCTGGTGGGGTGGGCAGTGACCCCCATGGGTTCTGTGGCCCGGGGCGGGGGTGGACTGGCCCGTCCATGACGCTGTGCTGACCGGGCTGCTCTGCTGGCCAGGGGTGAGTAGCCTGTGTCCCCACACTCAGGGGACGGCTCCCGGCCTGCGTGGGGGGAGGCTGAAGTGCTGGGAGGTAGGGCAGAGAGGACGCAGCCTGCCCTCGGCCTGCTGACCCTGTCCACTTGGAATCTGAGGGGGCCTCTGTCTGGGCTTGGCTGACTGCTGAGAGGGGGTGGGCGGTAGGGCGCCCTTGGGGAGAGAAATGCTACCTGTCCCTGGCCGGAGGGCACCCAGAACTCAAGCCTCCACAGTGTCCTGGACTGATGTCGTGGAGACAGTGGTGACCTTCCTCCCGGGCTCACTGGACAGGGCTTGACCTAAAGGAGAGTCTGTGGCTGGGGATGACCGTGGAGCGGGAGTGAGATCGTTTGGTCTGGGGTCTCTGAGCTCAGCCCCTTGTGCCCTGAGCTGCGGGTTGGCAACTCCAGCCCAAAGGACCCTGGTCTTCAGCCTCCCTGGACAGGCCACAGCTCAGCTGGGAAGGCCCTCCAGGAGTGCCCACCCAGGTCTTGGGCCCTTCTAAATGGAGGATCTTGGGTGCCTTGGGCTGGAGGGCGAGTCCCATCAGTTCTGGACACCATCAAGGGGCTGGGGGGGAGCTGGCTGGCCTGGGCTTGTGGGGCTGTGGCCCTTTCAGCGCTGCTTTAGGGGGAGCACCCTGGGCCAAGGCGGGGCAGGCAGAGTCCTCCCTGTCCCTGGGGACGCCCCTTGTATGAGGTGGAGATGCAGCGGAGCAAGGCACCCTCGTAGGAAGGCAGTGTGTCCTCCAGGGTGGCTCTGGGAAGACTTCTTCCATGGTTGTCTGGCCCAGCTCATTAAGCAGCTGTCCTCACAGGGTGGACAGGGCCAGCACGCTGCCGTCTCTTGCGGGCCGTGCTGGCTCTGTGCACTCAGCCCCACACTGTGAACCCAGGTGCTCCTGTGTCGGGGACCCCTGTGTTTACGACAGGGCTCCTGGGCACTGTGTGCTGGCTCGGGCGGCCCTGAACTGGCTGGGGGTGGGTGTCAGTGAGGGACCAGCTGTCCATCTGGGTCAGCCCGTGCCTGCGTAGGGCTCCTCTGAGCCAGAGGCGCTGAGTGGTCTTGTCTAGGCCGGACCGTGGCCTGGGCCACTGCTGGAAGGAACACGAGATTGGGGGAGTTCTTGGGCCTGGGCACTGGGACAGCTCCTCAGCCTGTGGGATGGAGAGCGTTGGAGGCCTGGCATTGGTCTGGGGGGTGGCTGCCAGGCTGAGGGTGGAGCCGGCCCCAGGTGTGCCTTTGTGTGGGTGGGGCCGGTGCCGGGCGTGTGGGATGGGCCTGGCCCCTTGTGTCGGCGGGTGTGTCTGGGGGAGGAGCCTGCTGCCTGCAGCCCGGCTAAGTGCTTGCTGCCCCTCGCTAACCGCCTTCCTCTTTGCCGCTGCTGCCAAGTTTGAGGCCCCGGGGCCTTTCTCGGAGCAGGCCAGTCTGCTGGACCTGGGCTTTGACCCCCTCCCGCCTGCGGCAAGCCCTGTGAAGGCGCCCACACCCTCTGGTCAGGTTGGTGTGAGCCCACCACCGCCCACGGGCCCACTGGCCTCTGGGCACCTGGGGCCTGGGTTCATGTCTGCCCACCGACCTCCTTTGGGGCTTTTGGGGTCCCTGGGCTCTCCTCCCACTCACCGCCCTTCCCCTGGAGCCCTGGTCCCAGCTCTTGTCACCTCCCTTGGTCCTGACCACAGGTCAATGAGAGACCCCTCAGGAGGTCAGCTGTGTACTCACCTGGCAACTCACACAGTCCAGCACCTGAGCACCCCGCCCCTCTCCTGGCGGCAGCCCTGGATGTGGCTGCCCCCTGGCCTGTGGTCTCCGGCTCCCTGAAGGTGTCCAGGACTCAGTCCTCTGGAGGGCTCAGAGCCAACTCTGCTCTGCCCCACGCCTCCTGGGCTCGAGGGCCCTGGGGTGGGCATGGGGTGGGGTCCCTGGGGACTGCGAGCCTGCCTCTGTCTCTAACCTCCGTGCTAACTGTCCTTCTCCCCTCCGCTGCGCTCAGTCGATTCCCTGGGACCTCTGGGAGGTAAGCTGTGCTTGCTCTGTGCCCGCCCCTCAGGGGCGCACTGTGCTGTGTGCGGAACCCGCCCCACCTCCTGCTGCACCTGTTCACAGGTGTGGGCGCACGCACAGCCGCGCCTCCCGCTCTTTCTGCCGGGTAGGGACCCTGTGCCTTCAGCCAGGCCCTTTGGGAAGGGGCCCCTCAGTTCAGCCTCTGCAGAGTTCCCCAGGGTGCAGCCCAGTTTTCAGGGACTGTAAATGGCCCTAGATAGTGACCATCTGGTCCCCACGGTGGATGGGGTGTCCCTGAACTGGGCCCAGGTCTGGGGGGCAGGGGGACCTCGGGGTGGAGAGTCCTCGCCCCCTAGGGGTTTTTTGTCCGCAGAGGCCCCACAGGGCAGTTGGACTAGCGAGCTGGTGGGACCCAGGAGAGAGGAGCAGGACAGGCGGCGTGAGGCCAGACGGGTGCCGTCATCACCTGGCAGCTCAGACACAGAGACTCGGGGGAGGGGGGCAGGGGGACACCCCACAGCTGGTGACGGAGCTCCTGCAAGAGCAGGAGGGGCTGGCGTGAAGGTGCCGGCAGCCCAGGCCTAGGGGCTTGCGAAGCTCCGCTGGAGAAGGCCCGAGGAAGTCTGGCGCCAGCGGACAGCGGGCAGCGCTGCTTCCCTGCCTGGGGCGTCACTGCTGCGGCCCACCCACACCTCCCTGCCCTGGGGCGCTCAGCTCAGCTGGCTGCTCACCACCTTCTTCTCTTGTCTCCCGCCCCGCCTGACACCTCCCCCACCGGCCCCGCCCCTCCCACCCCATCCCCCCTGCTGCCCGTCACTAGCCCACAGAGAGTCCAGCTGGCAGCCTGCCTTCTAGGGAGCCCAGCGCTGCCGAGGGCACCTTTGCTGTGGCCTGGCCCAGCCAGACGGCCGAGCCGGGGCCTGCCCAAGTAAGTGCCCTGTCAGCGCCCACACCCTCCCCTGCCTCTTGGGGGTGTGGCATGGAGGAAGAGCCCAGAGGCAGGGGCACAGGAGGGATCACGGTGGGACTGAGGGTGAGGCTAGAGCCTTTAGCCAGGAGGCCCCTGGACAGGGCTTGTCTGTCACTCGTGCTGGAGTGGCACAGATCAGGTCAGCCCCTCATCTGCTGGCCAACACCAGCCTCCTCGCTCAGGCCTCCCACGGTGGGAAGGAGGTGTGTTGAGATGGCCTCCTGGTTTACAGTGGGCACTTTCCAGAATTCTCCTTTAATCTTCAGCCTACCCTAGACATTTCCTCCTTCTACCGATGAGGAGGTGGGGGCCAGGAGGGTTCAGTGATTGCTCCCAGAACTCAGACGTGGCTGAGTCTTAAGGCAGACCCAGGTCAGCCTGACTGCAGCCAGGCAGCCTCTGCGGTGCCCTGCCTGGGCCCTCACCATGGGAGCCACCTGTGAGGGGCCGGTGGGGCTGAGCAGCTGGAAAGAAGGAAGCCGAGGCTCCACCAGAGTTTGGGATTAGAAGGCAGAGCCTGTGCGGGAGCCCGGGGGCCTGTGCTGGGCTTCTTAGCAGTTCGTCACTTGGGGTCCAGGGTCTGTGTGCCTGCCAGCGCCTTCTCCAGCTGCTTCCCATGCCCAGGGCCTTTCGTTCAGGGGCTGCGTGTACTGGACAGAGGCACTGGCCCTCTGCAACCTCTCCTTGTTCTGGCCGGCACGCCCTGTCCTGTGTCTGACCCCACGTGGCATTTATGTTGCAGCCAGCAGAGACCTCGGAGGCGGCTGGAGCCCAGGAGCCCGGGGAGACGACCGCAAGTGAAGCAGCCTCCGTAAGATGCCAGGGACCCAGGCCCTGTGATTCCTCCCCGCCGCCCGCGGCTCCCTGTCCCCGTGTCTTGCTCTGTGCTGGTCCAGGTCACAGTTCCTGTCGAGGAACCTGGAGGCCCGCTGGTCCGGCATCAGGCGCAGACACCCCCCTCCTCTGCCGGCGCGGCCCGCCCTCCGCCCTCCGGGAGCCCCTCCCCGCGTCACTGACCTGCTCTCCTCCCCCGCCAGAGCTCTCTCCCGGCGGTGGTTGTGGAGACCTTCTCGGCAACTGTGAACGGCACGGTGGAGAGCGGCAGCGGGGCGGGCCGTCTGGACCTGCCCCCGGGGTTCATGTTCAAGGCGAGTCTGGCCTGCTGACCTGCGATCTCCTGGGGCCCTAGGCTGTGGGGGTGGCCCACACCCACCCCACGCCTCTCCCACGCTGCTCCCCACTTGTGAGGTGGGGTCCCAGCCCTGCTCCTGCTGCTTTCACTTGCTCCCGGCGCCCAGGGGATGGCAGGGGGGACAAAGGTCGCCGAGGGAAGGGGTGTCAGCGCTCCCCCACCCTCTGCAGGTTCAGGCCCAGCACGACTACACGGCCACCGACACGGACGAGCTGCAGCTTAAGGCTGGGGACGTGGTCCTGGTGATCCCCTTCCAGAACCCGGAGGAGCAGGTGAGCCGGCTCTGCGGGAGGCACGGCGGCCAGCAGGGGGCAGCAGAGCCCCGCCAGCCAGCCTGCGGCCGCTCCCCACCGCCAAGGGTTCCTTCCCTTCCGTCCCTGCGGCGGCAGGGCTCCCCTCGGCTCTTCAGTCTCTCCTTCCCACCTCAGTCTCTCGCTTCCTGCTTCCTCCTCTCCCCAGGCTCTGTCTGCCTTCCTCCGGGCTCTCTGCATCTCAGTTCCTTCGTCATCTTCTCCCTTCCCTGCCCCTCCGTGGTCACCCTCCTGCAGGGCGGGATCCCTGGCTGCCACCCCGAGGCTGGCCCTGCCCCGTCCACAAGGACCGCACACCTCCCTGCCCACAGGGAGAGACCCCTGAGTCTCCAGCCCTGTCCCCACCTGGTCCTCACCCCGAAGCATCCCAGACAGCCCCTTCTCCTGCTGCGGCCTTGCTTTGTTAGTGAACGTCCTCAGAGCGGGCCCCACCGATCCTGGGAGGCTCAGCGCGGGACAGAACTGCCCCCGCTAGGTTCCGGCCCGGCTGTTTAGTTCAGATTGCAGTGGCCCCTCAGCAGGAGTCCTTGACGTGGGGCACTGATGGTGCCGTGCGGGTGCCCATGTGGGTATCCAGGTGGCAGCTATGGCGCAGAGCAGAGCTGGCGGGACTCCTAGGCTTTTAGTCATCAACACGTCTGTGTGATTTAATTATCAGAGTGCCGAAGTGCGGGAGGAGGGCCGGGTGTGGAGTGAGGCCAACCTGGCTGGGGCGTCCTGGGCTGGAACTTGAGGCTACTAGGTACTTTTTGAGCCCCCCATGGGCTGAGAGGTTTGAATAACAAGGCTTTCCTGGGCCTGGTGCTGAATCAGTTAATTCTCCTAAAGCCCCAGGTGTCCGCTGATCTCCCCGGTGGGCCAGCCCTGGGCTGGGTGGGGTTCTCAGGAGCAGAATCCTGGTCCCCCAGCACACAGCGTGAGCCATCTGTGATGGGTAGACGTGGCTCATGTAGGACACACATGGGGTACAGGACAAGGCAGGTAACCTTGTGCGTAGACCCCAGGGATGGCCCAGCTGCAGGGGCAGCAGTGGCCTTGGCTTCAGGCAGGGTGTGTGGTCACCACAGGCCCAGGGGTCAGGGCTTGTCAGGGCTTGAATAGATGATCCCTGCGAGGGGTCGGTATTAAAGCAAAGGTCAGATTCAACTTGGAGGGCTTGGTGGAACACCTCAGGTCACTCTAGAAGCTTTTAAGTGGTCAGTGCTCTGTAGAGCTTTCTGTTACCGTTTGTAGAAGGCCAGAAGGACAGCTGATATCCTCCTTGGTGATGCACCAGCCAGTGGAGGGGACTGAGGGAGCTGTTTAGAGGCGTTTGGACCAGTGCAGCCGTCAAGCTGTCTTTCTGCAGTGAGGAGGACTCACCACAACAAGGAGTTAAATCTGCCTCCTGAAGGGTCCTGGGGGTAGGGGGTGGCAGTTTGGGTCTTGAGAGAAGAGCAGGAAGTGCTGCTTGGCAGAGGTGTCCTAAGGCAGGTCTGACAGCCTAGAAGAAATGAGCAGGCAGAAGGAGAGCCCACCCTGCAGGTGTGACTGCCCTCCTCCCCCCTGCAACCCTCGCTCGCTCCCCCTTAGGATGAAGGCTGGCTCATGGGCGTGAAGGAGACTGACTGGAACCAGCACAAGGAGCTGGAGAAATGCCGGGGCGTCTTCCCCGAGAACTTCACCGAGCGAGTGCAGTGAGGGTGCGGCTGGCGGAGCTCTGGGCACGTGAAGAACAGCACCTTCTCCCGAAAAATGTGTGTTTCTTTCTTTCTTCTTTTTTTTTTTTTTGTTTTTAAACTTTTGAGAAGTAAAAGGGAAATTGAGAGGAGAGACCTAAGCCAGGAGGTGTTCTCCCAAAGCTGAGGTTGTTTTCCAAAGAGCCTGGTCTCGGCGAGTCCGGCAGAGTCACCAGTGTTCCTGAAGCTGCCGTGTTCCCTAGCTGAGTTCCTGGCCGCCTCCCCCGCCCTCGCCCACTGGTGTCACCACCGCCGCAGCTTGCGTACCCGGCCACGGGGCGGGGCCTGGGGGCCACCGAGCCACCACGCTTGCCTGAAGCTTGGGCCGTGCCACCTGGGCCAGGGTCTCCTTTCCTGGCAGCTGCCGTGGGTGGGGTCCAGTGTCTCCAGAGACTTCGGGCCCAGTCACCAGCCTGGCCTGGCCCAGCCCCGCAGATGTCTGTGTGCTGTTTGAAAATAAATCTTAGTGTTCAAAACAAAATGAAACAAACAAAAACTGACAGAAGCACTCAGAAAGCACGTGTTTTTTTTTCTTCCCCTCCATTTCCGTCTGCCATGTGGCCTTCCTTTGTGGCTCAGCTGATAATGAATCCGCCTGCAGTGCAGGAGACCTAGGTTTGATCGCTGGGTTGGGAAGATCCTCTGGAGAAGGGAAAGGCTACCCACTCAAGCATTCTGGCCTAGAGAATTCCGTGGACTGTATAGTCCATAGGGTCGCAAAGAGTTGGACACACCTGAGCGACTTTCACTTTCCATCTGCCCTGCAGTGGAGCTGTGATTATCTGTGCTCTTGTCCTGGGACGGCCCGCCTTGCAGGCCCTGTGTCTTGCAGAGCCCCCCGCCAGCGTGTGACCTCCACTTCCTTTTGAGTTCCCCTGGGCTTCAGCCCCATTCACTGATGTTTTCACTGTGGCTGGCTGGGGTTTCGGGGCATGGGTACCAGGTGACAGGAAGGGCAGATAAGGGTGCCAAGGAGGCTGTTGGGTGCTGTTCTCAGTAACGATATTTAACAGGGAGAACTCAGGAGGCAGTCCCAGGACTGCATTTCACAGATGTGGTATCAGGCCCAAGGAGGGGCGGGGCTAAACCTGGCCTGTTGGCCCCCAGGCACAAGAAGACCTGGGCGTGATGGGCAAGCGTCCCTCTCTCCCCACCTGCCTCCCTTTCCAGCATCAGGGCCTGCGCTGCATGCAGCCCGGGTCTCCAGGGCCATCGGGGTACATGGGCTGCACACACAGCAGCAGCCTGGGTCCTTTCTGGGGGTCATGGAGCTGTGCTCTTGGGCCCGGGGGCCAGGCTGGGCTTCCACTGGCAGGGATTTATGTCTGCATAAATCTGTTCTGCAGGTGAAGGGGACAACTGTCGGAATCTTAGTTTTGTTTTGGGATAAAACTCATGAGCTTTGTTTCAGGAGGCAGCATGGTCAAGCTAAGCTCTCCCTTGTCCTGTGGCTGACAGTGTTGGCTCTGTCAGCCAGGACTCCTGTGAGCAAAGCAGTTATGAAAGGGGGTGTGGGAGCTCATTTCTAGGTGTCCCTGTTAGAAAACTTAGCTTTTCCCTTCCTTCCTGCCTCCTCCTTTCCTCCCTCCCTCCCTTCTTTCCTTCCTTCTTTCCATGTTGACAGGTTAACTTTCTCACCCAAGGCCACACAGCTCATTGGTGGTGGAACCAAGCTTGAAGCCCAGACCTAGCAATCTCCACTGAGCTTCCAAACCTGGGGCTCCGTGCCCTGGAGTATGTGAGGGATCTGCATCCAAGGTGCCAACATGAGAGTCTTCACTTTTATGTCATGATGAGAAATTTTATTGAGTAGGAAATATTCACATTAGGTTTCTCACAAGATGAGATTCAAAGATGTGTCAGCTGGTGGGGTACTGTGCCCGGAAGAGCCCTGCTCTGTCACAGGTGGGGCCTGCAGGAAGCATCTTGCGGGAGGCGGGTGGGAGCCGGCTCTGCAGAGAAAGCTCCAGGCTTGGGACCTGGTGTGGTGATCCCACCCGAATGAGTAAGCAGCAGGTTAGAGGTCTGAGCTGCACCAAGGGTCTGGGAGCTGGTACACCTCCTGGTGTGTGTCAGCCCAAGAGAGCTAAAAGGCGGGCAGGCCACACTTGTTGGCTTTCTCTCCCCATTCCCAAGGCCACAGATGCCCCTGGCCCATCTCAGGGCCTCCCCTTTGCTGGGCTTCCCTCCAGCCAGCTCCCCAGGCCTGCCACAGTGAATTGGACACTGTCCAGCCTGCTGGCCCCGTCCTCTTCATTCTTGGCTGCATTTGGTAACCACGCTGGCCTTACTCCCCTTGGTTCCACTGGCCTGCGGAGCCTTGGGCCTGCCTCTGGAACTTTTAAGTATTCACACCTCTAACCTTCCCCACCACAAACACCAGGCTCTAACTATGCAGGGATGTTGTGACCGAACTTCGGGTTCCTTGGCTCAGCAAGCCTCGACTGGGTGTCTTCACGGTCTGAGGTAGGTGGGCACTTGGGCTGCAGCTCAGGCCCTCTGAGATGCTCTTGGGGGAACTTCCTTCCCTGAAGCCCCCAGCAAATCTCCTTTGTCTCATTGGCCTGAACTGGGTCAGGTCCCCAATGCTGAACCAGGGGTGGGATCTCTGGGGTGGACCACTTACTTGGCCTGGAATGGGAGCGGGGCTGGGCTAGGGGAGACAGGACACGCGAATAAAAATCTGGATATAGCTTCCAAGAGGAGGGATGAATTTTAGGAGCTCAAACCACTGACTCTGCACTCTGTGATGACTTCCCATGAGACCCAGGCAACGTGCCTAGATGAAGACTGCAGGGGGGCGTGTGTGTGTGTGTGTGTGTGAGAATGTGTGTGTGTGTGAATGTGTGTGTGTGTGAATGTGTGTGCGTGTGTGAGAGAGAGAGAGAGATAGTATTTGACACTTGGGAGATCCTGGCTTTTATTCACCGCATCCAATCTATCTCAGGCTGATCTCAATGAGGTCAGCATGTGACTGGCAAACACAACCCATGAAAGGCTGTTCTTCGTATTCAAGGAGTAATGTTCACCTGACCCTCCCCTGCACCCCCAGAGATAGGACCTGTCCCCCCACTGGAGACAGTGCATACTATGACCTTCGCTAGCCATTTGGAGGCTTGAGGCTGGGGGTCTGCACCACCTGGCTTCACATGGGAGGGGGCATCTTTGCTGGAGGTCCCTGGGAGCTGAGGCACACTTCTGACAGAAGCAGGCGGAAGTGTAGGTGAGTCTGGGGGTCAGAACAGTGGGATTGGAGGGGCCTGTAGCTCAGGAGAGAGGCCAGACTGAGGGGCAGGCGGGGCGGAGATGGGCCAGGGAAGAGAAAAGGGCACGTGAGAGAGGGGAGAGCCCTGGGCGGTCCAACCATAGCATCCAGCGGATGGGGGATGAGGAAGTGTGGGGATGGGATGCTGAGGAGCTGGGAAATGCCTTCCTTTAAGAAGAGTCCCCTAGTAATTAGTGACGTTGAGTGTCTTTTCATGGACCTCTTGGCCATCTGTCTGTCTTCTTTGGAGAAATGTCTGTTTAGGTCTTATGCCCATTTTTTTTTGATGGGGCTATTTGTTGTTTTGATATTGAGCTGCATGAGCTGTTTGTATATTTTAGAAATTAATCCTTTGTCAGTTGCTTCATTTGCAAATATTTTCCCCCATTCTGAGGGTTGTCTTTTTGTTTTGTTTATGGTTTCCTCTGCTGTGCAGAAGCTCTTAAATTTAATTAGGTCCCTATTAGCAGAGCAGAAATAGAGACACAGATATAGAGTGGGCCTGTGGACTTGGGGTGGGGGAAGAGAGGGTGAGGTGAACTGAGAGATTAGGATTGACATATATACACTACTATCTGTAAAACAGAGAGTGGGAAGCTTCTGTATAACCCAGTTTGTGCTCTGTGATGACCTAGATGAGTGGGATGCGGGGGGGAAGGCAGGTGCTTGAGGGAGGGGGTATGTGTATACATATGGCTGATTCACTTCCTTATACAGCAGAAACTAATGCAACATTGTAAAGAAATTTTACTCCAGTTTAAAAAAAAAACAAAACGCTTGTGGCCAGTGAGGCCAGAGAGGATGGAAAGAACAGGCAAGAGAGCCTGGCCTGGCCTGCCCTTGGATCCCTGGGGGTCTGGATAGCGACCGCTGTGGGCCTGCCTGAGAACACAGGCGGGCCACTGCTGACTCTCCAGGCCCGGCTCTGGCTGTGCAGATGGACAAATCACTGAGGAAGGCCCTTCGCAGTATAACTGACAAGGATGACTAACAGTGAGCCCGGAAGCCGCCTTCCTGGACACCTCTGATTACAGACGAGCATCCTTACTGCTGGCAGGGAGAAGTGGGGACGAGACCTCCCTGATACCCAGCCAGCCAAGGTCAGCTCACACTGGGCAGATATGGATGCCAGGTCTTGGAATCTCAAGGTGGGCAGAGGCTCTGTCAACTCACATCCCTTTGTCTTGCCTTGTGTGATCAGGAAGGAGGCCTAGCTCTTCCCACAGGGAGGTGATAAGCCTGTGGTGGGTCAAGGTTCACACACAGAGACCATCCTAGAGCCACGGCAGTGGAATTCCTCTTTTGGAAGCCTGATAGGATGCCCCATTCTTACTCTGGTGGGTCCATAGGGCAGAATGGGCTGGGAAACTTGTAGGTCATCCTTCACTGTGAGCTGGCAAACCCAACTCTGTGGCTTCAGGCCAGTGTCCTTACCCAAGCTTCAGGTACAGATATCTAACTGCCCAACTTCCCAATGGCCATGGCATCTCTAAACTGGGCTGGTCCAACCCAGGGCAGGCTGGTCAAACACCAGACGCTGCAGGGTCCTTACCCGATACTCATGCTCTTCCTCCCCAACCGAACTCTGATTTTCTTCAGGGTACCAGTCAACACCCCTGAAGCCACTTAGCCTTCCTCACAGCTATGGGTGGCCTTTCAACATAGTTTTGGCCAACGAAATGACGGAGCGCATCTTT